TTTTTTTTTTTAATTTTCAATCTCCGTTCCACTGGTGGGCATGTTGCCAGACCGGTTGCATCTCCCCTCTTCATGTCTCCCGCCTGTCGACGTTGGTGACGGCAACACCTAATGCTCATCAGTTCTGGGTCAAAATCAAGTGCAGAATTGATTTCTCGCATGTGAATGATTTTAATCAAGTCACGATAGTCGTCCATTCCGTAACCAATCCTGTCAGTCGTCAGTCGAGCCTTCTTCCACTCATCAATCCATTCACCATCTTGATGAGTGTAAGAAAGTCGATCCTTCTTCCACTCATCAAGATGGTGAATGGATTGATTGCAATCGATGAATGGATTGATTCAAATCGGTGAATGGATTGATTAATCTCAGTGAATGGATTGATTAATCTCAGTGAATGGATTGATTAATCTCGGTGAATGGATTGATTAATCTTGGTGACCCGAGTTCTGAATACAGATGATGGTGTACATGATGCGTAAAACCAAATATTTTTGAATTGCCTGGGGCCAGTCAGGTCGATAATGATATCTCAAGGCCGTCGCCTTTTTTTTGTTGAAACATCTCTGTGAAGAACGAGCGGTCATCTGTTTCTTCGGCTGATTTTTCTGCCGTTGTTTTGTCGTACCCAAGGCCATCATCGAGTATCAATTCGATTAATCCATCCACATCCTACAGACGTCATCTCCCTTTTTTAATCACATTCCGTCATCTTACTCGTATCTTGTATTGAACTCTGTTCCATGACAATAGACGTCGTTCAAAATACCGCCCTATCAGTATTCTTCCTTTCCTCATTCTCTGTCTCACCGCATGTCTCGCGCTCGCTCTCGATGTGCACACACACACACACACACAGAAAGAGAGTGAGAGAGAGAAAGAGAGAGAGAGAGAGAGGGGGGGGGGGGGGGGGGGTTCTCGCTCGGCTTCTCGAAGAGCCGAGGGAGAGTCAGTCTCACCAGAATTCGGGGTATCCAATGAAACACTCAAAAAGGGAAACAGAAGATGGAACCCCTGGCATCAAGAAAAGCTAGGTTCATTGACAGGAATAGTGAAAAGTGAAAAAAAGTGAAAACAGTGGCCATAGACTGCTTCTCGTACACGCATCAACAGATTTACATTTCTTCTCCGCATGTACAGTTCTCAGGAAAAAAACGCGCAATTTCGCCAGAATACGGGGTATCCAATGAAACACTCAAAAAGGGAAACAGAAGATCGAACCCCTGGCATCAAGAAAAGAAAAGAAAGTTAGGTTCATTGACAGGAAGGGGAAAAAAAGACACTCCACCCCTGGGTTCTCATAGACCAGATGGATTCTTATGAAACCTTCAACGTTTTATTTTGTTAATATAAGAGAGAGAGAGAGAGAGAGAGAGAGAGAGAGAGAGAGCTCTGTAGATTGAATCTTTTTTTTTTTTTTTTTTTTTTTTTTTGGAGAAACAACCCGAGCGGATGCTAGGGGTGCTGGTAAGAGCAGGCAGCACTATTGGTGGCGAGCAGCACCGGCTGGAATTGATTCTTATGTAGACCCCGAATATATCATTGACATTTTCGTATGTGCGGGCTTAACTGCACTGGCTTTTGTTGCTACACCGGATTAGAATAGAATAGAATAGAATAGCATAGAATAGAATAGAATAGAATAGAAGAATAGGATTCTTCTGACCTTTGTGCTGTCTTTGTTGCTACGGCATTATTGGCAGGAGGCGGAACGGAATAGAAGATACTGGTAGAACGGAACAGGGTGTTCCTAACCACTGCTTATTTGTGTCCAAATCCCGTTCCGCAAATGTCCAAAGCACTACAAGCAATATAAGAGAATGAGATTGGACGGGGGACACTATTGTATAATTTACAGCCACCGGCACAAAATGGCTTAAAGCTGAACAGCACAAAATGGCAGTCAGTCGGACATTCTTTGTGACGTCAACAGATCAAGAGAAACGTGCAATCTCAGGATGATGGGACACGATCGTGCAGCATAGCTATCTTACACACACCAGCGATTGCTTCCTTTTTTTTTTTTTTGGTAAAGCAAGGGCGACGGTCTTGAGATATCATCTTTCAACTGACCGACCATTGCTTTGGTAAATTCAGAGTTGTTTTCACTCACCTGATTCCATCAGGGAGTGAAAACGACTCTGTACTTCAGCAGTTCAGGGGTGTGCTAGCTGAGCTACGCCAGCTGGTGCACATCAGCAAGTTCGGCACTCGGCGGAACGCATCCATTACTGCTACAGTAATTTTCATGGATGTCACGGTTAAATAGACCGGGCAGTAAGCTATTTAATGTGACTGGGCAGTAATTTTCATCCTTTAACCGCGAGTTACTGCTACCAGTAATTTTCATGGATGTCACGGTTAAATAGACCGGGGAGTAAGCCTTTAACTTCTATGTACGCTGGTGTAAGCACTGTAAGGCTTACCGAAGTGATGTCACGGTTAAACAGAAAGCATGGAAGGCGTACGGAGCCAACCCACCGGCCTACATCGTATCAAACGGGAGGGTTCTGCTCTTTTCCGTCCGCTTCTCCCTGCTTCCGCTCCCTGCTTCCTCTCGCTGCTGGCTCTCCCTGCTTAAATAGAATGCATGGAAGACGTACGGAACCAATCCCTTGCTGCCTCTCCCTGCTTCCGCTCCCTGCTTCCTCTCGCTGCTGCCTCTCCCTGCTGCCTCTCCCTGCTTAAATAGAATGCTTGGAAGGCGTACGGAACCAATCCCCTGCTGCCTCTCCCTGCTTCCGCTCCCTGCTGTTTCCGCTCCCTGCTGTTTCCGCTCCCTGTCCTTGTGTCATTGATTCTTTGTCTGTATTACCGTTCGTCCCCGTTCATCCAAAGACGTCAGGTCGTAGGGGGCAATTGGTGGCCTTTGTGGGTCAATAATGGGCCGCTGGTGGGTCAAATGTGGGTCAATTGTGGGCCAATTGTGGGACGATTGTGGGTCAGTTGTTCGGGTTAATTGTCGCCAGTCGTTCACGGTTTGTTAAAAAACATCAGTTCTTCCCCAAGTGTGGGCCGATTGTGGGTCAATTGTGGGTCAAGTGTGGGCCGAGTGTGGGTGAATTGTGTGAACTATGGGAATGGTGGGTACTGTGGGCCAACTAATGGTGGGTAATGATGGGGTAAGTTGTGGCTGGCCAAACTATTTCTGTAGGAGAAGTCGTGGTGGGACAGTAAGTGTGACACTCTTCAGCTTTGTGTGTAGCTGTGCGGGACAAGGTGTTGCCCAAGAAGTGCAATGATGTGTTGTGGGACACAGTGCGACATTCCGCGAACCAGCGGCACCTTTTGTGTGAGCTTTGGTTATCACCACGTGATCTGATAGCTGCAGGTCTCCCGCGTGCACGGGGATTGGATCGGCCAAATTTTTCACTCTAGCATGAGCTGCGGGATAAGTAACTGTGTGACACTTCTTGATGCCCAATTGCCGGGCAGAATATAACTGTGATGCTTGATGACCAGAGTTGTGTGGGACAAGTTTCTCGAATAATCCTCCTTTTTTTTTTTTTTTTCGTAGTGTTCCTCTCAACGAATTCTGCGGGATGAGGTGTACGATAATGGGTTGTGCTGCAACTACGGTTTTTTTTTGTTTTTTTTTTTGTCGTAGTGTCCCTTTGAGTTGTATGGCGATGTGTTGGTGACAATTTGGTTGTGTGACAATTTGGTCATATCGTCGCGTGACAATAGCATCTGGGGGGTGACGGGAATTGTCTAACCCTGGCCCTCCTACCCCTCCACTTTCGCCTTCTCCCCCCTTCCCTTTCTCCCCTTTGCCCCTTTTCTGCCACCTCTCTCGCTTCTCCTCGCTCTCTCACCTCCCTTTTCCTTGCCTTTCCCCCGTGTCCCATCCCCTCCCTCTCTCCTCCTGTTCCTTTTCCCTCCTCTCCTCCCCCTTCGTTCCTGTCATCCCGTTCTTTTTCGTCCCCCCCGTCCCCCCCGTCCCCCCTCCCCTCCTTCCCCCCCCCTCTTCCCCTTCCTGTTATTCCCATCCTTTTTGCCTTCTTTCCCACCAGCATCACCTTCCCTCCACCAGGGCACACTCCTCCTTCTCCCACCTCCTGCTCCCCTCCCACCCCCTCCTCCGCTCCACGTGTCTTAATCCGGCTGTGCAGTTCCGGTCTGCAGAGGGCAGAGGGCAGAGGTACTTGTTTGGAGATTCGAGAGACTGAAGGGGGATTGAAGGCCTCCCCCCCAAACCCTCCAGTCATGGAGACGATGCTCTCCCCAGCTGCAGCTGTCCGTGCTCTTGTGAAGAGTATACCGTCCCTAACTTATATGCTCTATCCATTGCAGTGCCTTTCCCAGCCTCGTCTGCAATCACGCTGTTTGGACGTGGTGCGAGCTGGATCGACGAACTTGCACTTGGCAGCAGAGGGGAAGCATCTTGTTTCCATTGCCCGCAGGCTTGCAGTTACAGGAGTTATCCCACATCATTCAGGCAAATCTTTGCTGAGGAAGTTCTGCACAGTGGCTTCTGAGGTCAGGGTTCCATTCTCGCAAATGCCCCTCTTCGTGGTCTGTTGTTGACCCGCTCCGCTCTCTGCCTGCTGCGTGTCTGATGTGCTGACCTGTATTTTTTTCTTGTTTCTTTTCTACCAGAAGACAATTCAACCACCGGTGATGTTTTTTGAGGTGCGCACGGAGTCTGGTCTGTCCTTTTCCTCCCTCTGGACAAGGTCTGGAACTTTGCTTCTTGGCTGAAAGATCCCTCTCGCTTGCTTCTGCCTCCCCTCCCCTCTTGCACTCTCCTAGCCCCCTCTCCCATCTGCTTCCGCCTCTGCACCAGGTTCTCTTTGTTTGGAATGCGGACAGACTGGCCCGACGTCTTTAGTGCACATCCGCAGAGAGATTCACTGTGTGCCTTTTTTTTGTTTTTGTTTTTTGTTTCTGTAGTGCCTATTTTGAAACAGCTGTTTTCTTTTCCGGCTGCCAATCGTGAACAGGTATCTGTTTGCTTGCCCTGCTGGCACTCACGAACAGCTCTGTGTTTTCTTGTCCAGCTGTGCAAGTGTGAACGGGTCGCGCTTTACTTGTCCCATGATGGCGACGATAAACAGGTCTCTGTTTTTACTCGTTTCCTGCCGGTCATTGTAAACAGGCCTCCGTTTTTTACTTGTTTTCGTGTTGGTAATCGTAAAAAGGTATCTGTTTTCACTTGTCTCCTGCTGGTAAAGGTAAACAGGTCTCTGTTTGCACTCACCCTGCTGGGCAATTATAAGCAGATCTCTGTTTACTGTGATCGTAAATACGTCTTTTTTTCTTTTTTTTTTAACGTGTGCTGCTAGCAATCATAAGCAGTTCTCTGTTTACGGTAATTGTAAACACGTCTTTGTTTTTTGTGTTGTTCAGGACATCTGTTAAAATTGGAACGATACAGAAAGAAGATTAGCATGGCCCCTGCGCAAGGATGACTCGTATCAATGGATAAATGGTCCGAGTTTTTTAGGGGGAAAAAAAAGCGTCTTTTTTGTTCTTTTTTTTACTTGTCCTGCTGGCAATGATAAGCAGATCTCTGTTTACGGTAATTGTAAATACGTCTTTTTTTTTTTCCTTTTTTTTTTTATACTTGTCCTGCTGGCAATCATAAGCAGACCTCTGTTTACTACCAGTCCTGCTTGCAATCAAAGAAAGGATCCCTGTTTATAATGGCCAGATTCCCAGCGGGTCTCTGGATGTCTGTTTACAATTGGAAACACGCCTCTGTTTTCTTCTCTCAGATGGCAATCGTGAACATGTCTCTGTGTATCGAAGGGCTATTTGTATTTTGATTCTCGAGGAATGCTGTCTCCCCCAAAGAGGCAATTTTTTGTAGCAGATCTGCGGAATTTCTGCCGATTTGATCCTGAGGAGTGCTGTCTTGCTTTGCGATCCTTTCTCCCAACCACCTTGCTCTATCAAAGTGAGCACTATATTATAGATTTAATTGTGTACAATTTACGGGATTAGGGTTTATTTTGGGATGTTCAGGGTTTAGCCCCCTTAAGTTGATCCTGAGGAGTGCTGTCTTGCTTTGCGATCTTTTTGCGCAAGCACCTTGCTCTATCATAATGAGCATTATAGAGGTAGTTATAAGTGGGTACAACTTAGGGGATTAGGGTTTATTTAAGGCTGTTCAGGGTTTAGCCCCTTTGATTTGATCCTGAGGAGTGCGGTCTTGCATTTCGATCTTTTCTGATGAGCACCTTGCTCATTATCCATACATAAAGAGCATTGTAGAGTTAGTTAAGTGGGTACAATTTACGGGATTGGGGTTTACTTTAGGCTGTTCAGGGTTTAGCCCCTTGAGCGTTTTTGTTTATTCCCCAGTGTTGGAGGCTTAGGTAGGGGTCCGATTTCTTAGGTATACAGTTGAGGGCCTGGTTTATGGAATCTGCTCTGCACTTTTGATGGGTGAGGTGTTTTTCTGTATTCTTTCAACCTCTACGTGGTATGCATGGGCATTACACATGAATTTGGCATGAGAATTGGTCCATGTACAGCGCTATTGACAGTATGTTCTATTTTTGCGATATGCCAGCAGAGTTCCTGGCGCTTGAGGGTTTAATTCAAAGAGCGTGCAATGGTTGTGAAATCCAACGGGAAACGTTCTCCTAAACGCAAGACACTCCCTCATCACGACTGTATCGGACCAGGAACATTGCCTGTATACGTTTGTGATCAGTGAGGTTTATGCTCTCAGGGGAAGAAGGTAGCCATTATTTGATGGAAGGCTAAGTGGATTCTTTGCTACTCATTTTGAGTGCTGCTGCTGTGGTGTGAAGACTGATTCTGGCTGAAAGATTTCTGAGCCAGTGATTTCAGAATGCTGCTGCTGTTAAAGTTGTAGTCGACAGTTTCGTGGACAGTGGGATTTGAACCCGCAAGCTGCCCCATCAGACTTGATCTGTTGACGTCACAAAGAATGTCCGACAGGTGTTTTTTTCGGCACAGTTGTGATGGCTAAGAAGCAAACTGTGAAAGTAGTTTTTGACTATGTTGTGGTCTTGGCGGCTTTGTGCGTTTGCTTATCTGGCTACGTTTTCCTTCTTTTTTTTCATCTTTATTCCCCCCCCCCCCCCCCCGGTTTGCTGCAGATGGTTTCAGCAGCTGTAACGAAAAAAAGGATCGGGACACACAATGGGTCATTCCACTGCGACGAGGCACTGGGATGTTTCCTCCTGCGCCTGACAGACAAGTTCCGTGATGCGGAAGTTGTGCGTACAAGGAATCAACAGGTGATTTGTTAGAAAATAAATCAGAGTTCTTTCTTTGCAAACTCTTTGGTATGTGTGAGAGGTGGAGGAGGATTGCATGTCTTGCATTTATAAATTTTTTCTGTCTGAAACAGTCAGGATTAGATGAACGTCATTGATCTATTATGACTCTCTCTCTCTCTCTCTCTCTCTCTCTCTCTCTCTCTCTCTCTCTCTCTCTCCCTCTCTCTCTCTCTCTCTCTCTCTC